ACACAAAAACACTCGCATATACCATAGTTTTACATGCTGCTTCTAGCTACACCAGTAAGTAAATAAGATTACGAGTTAAGACTGATCGTACATTTTGCTAGAAAAAATTAATTAAGGGATTGACTTGGTGCTTTATACCACAGAGCAGGCCTGACAAGTTCAAGGCTTCAATTGCTACAGAAGTGAGTTGCCAAACACCAGGCACATTTCCAGTCTTTAAACATCAGTTAAGGCACTTCCATTAAAATCTTAGTGTTCTTAATTTATCCGATTCTCAGTTATGGATTTTAAACACAATGACATATTCAATAACATAAATCTGAATATGACATCATAACAGCCATTTTCCCATAGATGCAACTAATACACATCAGGTATCTCGTTCAAACACGAATTGGAAGAGGTATCATTACCTAAAATGGAAATAATTTTTTGTCGCATTTGCAGAAAAAGATGCTAAATCAGTCAAAATTTGCACTTAGAACTCATCACGAAGTACAAGCTCATCTGGTAAAAAAAAGATGAAGAAAGCAACCCACTAATAACTCTAATCAGGCATAAAAACTGAGGGTATTGTACAAGCGGTGTCAACACCATATACTGGCAAGTAAATCAGAGAATTTTCCACTTAAAAATCCACTCCAGCACTGTCGGGTTTAGAGAGAAGGCTGAAAGTGAAATTGAGTTTGTTTTTGTCCATTTTCGCCTCTGGGTGAATACATAAACCTCTTTTTCACATGTCCCCAAGAGAATGGCCTAGTGATTGAGGCAGGGAGAAACAACTTGGAAAGTTTAGGTCCGGATTCCTTCTACAACACTTGGTCTGCTCCAATCTTAGTAGGCATGCTTACCTTGGCAACCTATGCTTGTGGGCTAAATAGGTAGCTCAGTGGTCAGTGGATTAGTTGAGGTCTGCATAAGCTGGCCTGATACCACCAATAATTTGCAAAAATCAAATAAAACATAAAAAAGAAACCTAAACTTATTTTAACATGTATTGCTCATAATAATTTTATCATGTGATGCATGGGAAATGGGAAAATCCCAAAATACATACGTAGCCCAACTCATTGGGAAAAAATAGCTACTAATATCATTTCAGAAGCGGATATCCAACCAGTTCAAAACTTCAAAATCAGATCATAACTGCAGCAATAAGCTTAAACGACATTGTTACACATGGTTTTAATCTAACCTTGATTCTTCTGTAGGAAACCAGTTCCAGTGTCTCCTGTCTTCCATACCAGTTATCGACATCGCTTTCGAGGATATCGACATGCAAATCCTTCCACTTATTCTGTCCAACCATACTTCCTGCATTCTCGCCCATCAAGAACATACATCTTAGTGAGATCAAACATCACACCAAAACATTGTACTAAAATTGAACTCATAAATACACACCAAATTCAACTGCAACAAGATCAACTTATTTTCCTCAAACTTTCTTTCCCAGACCTCAAGTGCAAGACTGAGGTGAACAGTACAGACAGAGAAATTAAGCAGTGGTAACTTTACATTTCATAATCCCTCCCCATACAAGCAAATGAACATAATTGAAAAATACCGCACTCAAAAACTCATAGTCATAGCAAGCTGGCCTAGGCACAACCTTTATCAATTTAGGGAAAACCATACTTATCGTTAGCCAACACCACTTACCCATTAGGTCAGGAAAAAAATGGGAAAAAAGGAGCAGCAAAAAAAACGAATATTAACCACAACAAATAACACCACTTTATGTCTTATTTTATTTTTGTGGTTTTCCAGCCTGCGCCCCTTACCTACTTTGGGGCACACCTAATCTGGATTCGCACTGGAATTAAGCAATCCCTAACAAGGCAACTCCATTCCAGGCTCAAACCCAAATCTGGTTAAGGATGGAGGGATATTTACCACCCAACCACAATCTTTGGTGGTAGCACTTCAGTTCAACTTGAAAACTAAACTTGAATACTACATATAATAATATATATCAGCTAAAGCATCAAATGACAACTACAGAGTAGCACCAGCATCAATTTTGACCCAAAACCCCCATTTATAAATTATTTCTTACAGGAAAACGCAGAAAATCCTTTAGAAACAAATGTCAGCAGAAATAAGGAACATCACAAAAATATCAACATGCCTTATTGCCATCATCAAACGGGACGGAACGAGCGAGGAGAGCAAAAATGTCTTTCTTACAGAGACCCTCGTAATTTTGTTGAGGCAAAAGGTCGAGCAGTTGGTGGTAATTACAAGGAAGTTTAGATTCCCAAACAGCGTCTGAAGAAGCGGCACCACGAAAAGCACGATTGAGCCGTGCAAGGTTACAAATCTCCGGCGGCGTTAGGTACATGAAAACGCAAGCCACGCAACTTTCCGGTATGTCACCAAGCCCTGGTCTGCCGTTGGCTGACCCGTTTTCCGTCAGGTTAGATAATGATGCGCCCATGCGATTTGGCAGTTTTTTTGTTTTTTTGTT